TTTTGGAAGGCATCTGTCTATTTCAATTTTTCTTCGTTTTTCGGTGTCATATTGTCTGTCATCTGCTAAAATATTTCCCATATATTTAAACTGCTGTACATTTTTTTTTATTTTTGTCTACTCACTCAATTCATTTTATATCCACATGTATGTGTTTTACCATGAGTATACGATTTAGATTATTTTAATATACTTTCCAAATGAGTTTTTCTTACTGTTCAAATAGATCATTGTGTCATCAATTATCAAATACTTTTGCATAGTCTATGAAATACAGGTATACATCCTTTTGCATTTGTGTTGCTCGCTCTGATATTCTGATCATAAATATTGCAGTTCTTGTTCCAGTGTTTAAAGAAACCACACTGTTCTTATTCTGTTTCCAATCTAATACTTCTCTGTGCTCTGTTCATCAGAATTCGGATTATAAACTCAATTATGTGGTTTATTAAACTGATAATCCGATGGAGATCACGATCATTTCCACCTGGCTTCGTATGCAGAACTATAAATCTGGATCTACTAAGGTCTTCCGGTATTTCGCCACTGTCTTATTGGGCATGAAATGATCTAAATGGGCATAGTTTAGACTAGGATATTTTATATCCTGAGGTATTAAGTAAGCTGACACAGGTCATACCCTGGGGTCTCTTCTGGACTAGGTTGGATTATATCCGGGCATATTTTGGCAGTCGTTAATCTGTGCGTTTACATCGTGAATCTATCAAATGGAAGGGGTACAGCACGTATTGATATTTAATCTTGCATATGTTATAGTAGAAGAGATGGTTCTTTGTTTGTTGCACAATGGCTGTGTCTGATTTTGCTTGCACATACGTAATGTTTGTGTTATGCGTGAGTGATTGACATGCGTTTTTATCATTGTATGTATACACACATAGATAAGCACACAATTTGACTAAGTATTAAATAGGATATAGGAATAATACATTCCCCTGCCACTCAGTCAGGACAACTACTACTTTGGGTGAGTATTAAAAAAATCATAAAAATGGATATAAGAAAACATATTTAAACACTAAAAAATTAAGATACTTATTGGGCATGAAATGTTCTAAGTGGACATAGTTTAGACGAGGCTATTTTATACTCTGATGTATGAAGTAAGCTGACACAGATCATAACCTGGGGTCTATTCTGGACTAGGTTAGATTATATCCGGGCATATTTTGGGAGTCGTTCATCTGTGTGTTTACTTTATTGAAAGTTGTTATGATTATTCGATAAAAAATAATATAAACTTATTTTTTCTAAATATTACAGAAAGATATACATGCACACACGCAAACCTAAATGCACACACAATGAATGAAATTGAAATGGACATCTGTGTGGTGAGGGTTAATTTCCATTTCTGTCAGTCAACAACCCCTGGATAATAAGAAAAGAGTATAAGCCGACATGTGCTGCACTTTGAAGCCATTGCTATGATTCCTTCTGTAATTAAATTGAATATATTTTCTAATATATGTAGTATTTTAATTAATCAAGCAATTTAGATTAGAAATTTGATCATCTTACCGTCAGCGAAGCAACGTGTACCGAACTAGTATATTCTAATTGATATTTACTGCAGATATTGGAAAACTCAATAAATTAACTTAAGATTTGTAAAAAAAAAAATAGTCATCTGAAATGAGAACAGGAAGTGTAAACATAATAGAAATATGTAGGAATGAAAAGTTAAATTTATATTTTAAATCATTTAACTTATTAAGGTTATTTAAGTTTTGTTCATACATTATGAATGATGATAAAAGATATGAAACATTCATTATGACCACCTGAATTAATCTCCTGAAATTTTTCCTTCCTGCCTCTCTTGAAAATAAGCATCCAAAATTCTAGTACAATCGCTCGCAAGATGGGTAAGACAAAAATCTAAATTTAGGTAGAGAGTATTATTTTCCTGAAATTTTCCGTTTACATATTTATAAAGGAAGTCATTAAAATCCTGACAAATTGACCATAATGCAATTCGAAATCGAGTCATAGGCGGAAAGCTTATTTTATTTTTTACTAAGAGAAAAGTTTAGGAATTATTGTCTATAACTCGACGGGTCATTTCATGTATAATAGTAGCAATTTGTTGGCGAATGGTATCTTTTAATTGTTCAACAGATCGAGGGCGATCAGTGTATACCTTTGATTTCAGGTATCTTCACAGAAAAAAAATCGCAATGGCTCAAATTAGGTGATCGGGAGGAGCTAACGTTCTTTGTGTTGCAGTTACCGATTCGTTGTTCTTGATAAACATTCCCACAATGAAGTGTAGTGAATATTCGGTTATAATAAGGAAAGAAATTTAAATCACTCGCTAGAGAAGTTTTTTTTTTTTTTATTTAAGAGGCAGTTTATGTGGGTTGTAGGCAGTTAAAATAAATTCCTTGGCTAAACAATTCTCTTATTTATCTGTTCGAATATTTATTTGTTTAATTTAATTAATTAATTTATTTATTTGATATTTAATCCGTAGCTGGGGGAGATGGATTCATACTTCGCACAAGGGTATTTGCACGTAAATGAATGTAACAAACCTGACTGAAATTCGAACTCGGTTCTCCGATTTCACATTCTGAGTTGCTATCCACCAGATGCACATCCACCTGAAGAGAGAAAAACGAATAAAATGAAAAGCAATGTGAGAAGCATTGATTAATGATAGGTTTAAGAAAGAAAGAAAGAAAGAAAGAAAGAAAGAAAGAGGGGGAAAAACAAAAGCGAAAAGAAAGGAAAGGAGAGGAAAAAGAACTCCGAAGGGATCGTTTAATTCCTGGACTCTTCTACATTATAAAAATAATGTGTCAGACTTGGCAATGTTTTGCGACAAATCTTTGAATACAAAAAGCGGAAAATGGAAATACGGGTGTGTATATTAGCGAACATATGTATGTGTGCTTAAGCATGTCCTTGTATCTGTGTCTATGTGAAATTACGTGTTTGTGGGAAAACGTATAGCTTAGTGTATATGTGTGTTTAAATTTATGTATGGATGCGTAATTATGTGAATATATATGCATCAGTGCGTCAGTCTCAACGTACGTTTATCTCTGTGTAGCGAATAGAGAAGGTGTACATATCGACACGAAAGTACATATGTATATGTACTTGCATGTGCATGAGTGACTATTCGATCTTTCGTACAATATTTTTGTGTGTATGAGGGAGAGAGATAGAGAGTGCGATAGAGAGGGGGAGTCGGCGTACGCACGCGCGTAAGGATGTACATTAATGCATATGCGTGTAAATGATAATGTATATGTGCGTACGTGCCTAGTATATTTTATTAATCTTTTATGTCATTCTTCACTAGTTTAGTATTCTTGATCTCTTCCTTCTTTTTTCTCATTGCTTTCTCTTTCCTTCTTTCTTTTTGCTTTTCTTGCTTTTCTTTTCATTGTCCTTATATAAGTCTTTTTTCGCTTTTCTTTTTCAAACATATTTCTCTTTATTATAATATTTTTATTCTTTCCTTTCTTTGTCTAGTCTTTTGCTTTTCTTAATTTTCATTTTCTGCTTGCCTTTTTCCTCTTTGTTTTTCTTGCTTTTTTCATTCTCCTTCTATAGTTGTTCTCTTTCTTCTTCTTTTTTCTTATTTTCTATTCCAATCATTTTTCTCTTTATTCGTATAATCTTATTCTCTTCCTTATTTTTTCTCTTTTTTCAATTTTCTTCTCTTTCTCCATCTTGCTTTATTTTTCTCTATTTCTTTTTGTTTTCCTACCACTTTTTTTTTACTGTCCTAGTATAGTTGTTGTCTTTCTTCTTGTTTTTTCTTCTTTTCTCTTTCAAGCAATTTTTCTCTCATTCCTATTATCTTCGTCTTTCTTTTTCTCTTTTTTCTTTTCTTCCTTTTCTTTTTCTTCCATCGTTTTTCTCTTTCTCTTTTGTATTCATATTCTATTCTTTCTTTTTTCTCTTTGATGTGGATCTTCTTTTCCTATTTTCTCTTTTATTGCGTCCTCTTTGTATTTTTATTGTTTTCCGTCTTGATTTATTCTTTGTATTCTTTTTTATTTTCCTTTTTATATCTTTTCTCTTCTTTATCGTCTTTTGCCGTGTATTATTCTCTCTTTTTTTCTATTGTTGCTTTAATTTTGTCTCTATTTCCCTTTCTTCTTTTTCTTCTTTTCTTCTTTTGCTTTTTTTCTTTCTTTTTAATTCCCTTCTTTTCTCTTTCTTCTTTTATTTTTCTCTTTCTTCTTATATGCTTTTCTCTTCTATATTTTCATTCTTTTTCTCTTCCTTGTATTTTCTCTTTTACTTTTCTACTTTTTCTCTTCTCTTGCTTTTCACTTTTCCTATTGTTACTGTCTTCCTTTATTTATTATTTTCTCTTTTTTTCTTGCTTTAATTCTTCTTTTTTCTCCTTGCATTTCTTTTTTACTTTTACTTTTCTTATTTTTCACTCTCTTGTGTCCTTTTCCATTCGTTGATTTTTAAAAAATTCTCTTCCCACTTGCTTTATTTTTCTCCTTGTACCTTTTCTTTTACACTTTTTCGATTTTCTCTTTGTTTTTCACTGTTTTCCTTCTTTGTCTCGTCCGTCACTATTTCTTCTTTATTCCTTTCTTTATGTACTCGCTTTTTTCTTAAAGTCATTCTTTATTATTTTTTTTCTTCCTTCTTTTAATTCTTCTTTTCTTCTTGCATTTTATTTCTTGTTTTGTTTTGTAGTTTTTTCTCTTCTTTGCTCGTTTCCATTTTCTTCTTTTTTTACGTTCCTTATTTAAAGATTCTTCTTCTTTTTTCTCATTATTCTCTCTTTCTTCCTTCGTTATTTTATTTTCTGTTTTGATTTTTCTTTTGCCTTTTTGTTTTAATATCTTCCTCCTCTTCTTCATGGTTCTTATTTTTTTCTTCATACTTTAACATATTTCGTATCTTTTTCATGTTTCTACTTCTTTTTCATTCATTTTCTTCATGTTTTTTCTACTTGTTCGTGGTTTTCCGCCTAAGCTTTTTCCGTTGCTCACTCAATGTTAATCACTTTTTACTTTCTTTCTTTTTATTTCATTTCTTATTTCTGTTTTATTTACTCTTATTTTCTCTTTCTTTCATCATTGTCCAGCTTTTTTAAGCCTTCCTTTCTTATGATCTTACTTTTCATCGCTCTTCTATCTTCTCTTTCGTTCGGCTTTTTTTTCATCCGTGTCTGGTTTTTTTTAGTGTTTCCTTTTTCAACTCTTTTTCACATTCTCCATGTTCTTGTCATTCTCTCGCTTTTTCTCATTCTTGTCTACTTTTTTGAATCTCGCTTTTTCAAGTTTTTCTTTTTCTTACTCTTCTATATTGTTTTTCCTTTAGATTTTCTCTTTTTTTTCTTTTTGCTATTTTCTTTTCCGTGTCTTCTTTCTTTCAAATCGTTTTTTTTAACTTTTCTATTTTTGCCTTTCTCATGTCTTCCTTTGTTTTATTTCTTGTATATCTTCTTTCTTATGTCTTCCTTTTGGAAATCTTTCTTTTTTCAGTTGTCCTCCATTTTTATTTTTCTCGGATCTTCCTTCTTCGAATATTCTCACTTTTTCTATCTTCTTATTTCTATATTCTTGCAGCATTTTCTTCTTTTTGCATTCAATTCCCTTTTCATTCTTTTTTTTTTCAATTATTTTCAAAACTCTTTTTCCTACAATTTTCTTTCGTTTTGTTCCTGCTTTTTTATTCTCTTGATCTCTTTCTTCTATCTTCGTCTATCTTCAAAAAATAAATAAAAAAATAAATGAATAAATAAAAAAAATAAATAAATAAAAGAAACAAAAAAAAGAAGCTAAAATTAAAAAGAAAAACTGCTCGCTCCTGACTCCACCTTAAGAAAAGGTCCGGGTCGGGAAAACAAACCTTCTAGTGATGACCAATTCCTATTCGGGGCTTTTGAAGCGTAACGGTTTTGGTCTACTGCCCTACTATGGCTTCCACCCACCACGCCTACGCTTCTTTTCTCCCCTTTTCAGTCATCACTACCCACCCTAGCTCAATGTCCTTTACATCTCTTTTGCTTTTCCCTATCTGCCTTTGTTTCAATATTTGTCATTTCCTGGAGTAATCGACTGGCCTCAAGTGAATGAGATCCTCCGACTCATTCCTCCCCACTGACATCCATAGTCAAATGTCACCTATACCTCCCCTTCTTTGCTTTTCCCTTCTCAGCAGGTTTCGCATCCAGTTTTCCATTCTCAGCAAATTTTTAGTTGTTTTGTCTTCGTCTCTACATGTGCTGACTGACAGACATCCATTTTGGGGCAGTGATATTTGCGCAGTGGCTAGAACACGATTCTCGCATCTCATGATTTCTGATTCCACTGCTATGTGGCTGTGTTGCTATTATGGTGTAATTGAGTACTGCTACCGTATATGCGCAGGAGCTACACAGTCTTCATTTTGCAGTCTCAATATAGACCAACAATCTCTCTTCGTTCTTGTGAGTAATTAATTATTTTCCACCCTACAACTCCTTTCATACAAACGAAACTTTATAAGCCTCTTGCCACGCTATCGCAGTTTCGATGGAAAGTTCTCAGCCGAACTACATTCCTTAGTTCTAACCTTCACTGGTAGTACCCACTATGCTATTCCCATTGTAGCAGACCACCCTCATTCCTTTTGTATGTAAAACAGCAAACATTGGAGAGTCTGGAAGATAGTTAAAATATTAGCGGTAACAATGGAAAAACACGTCTTTTTCGGGCACGAAGATCCAATTTTGCCAAAGTATTTATAGAAACGAACAGTCAGTATTTGGTGCAAAAATCTATTTGGACGGCTCCATTTAGGGCTGTGATAAAGAATATCGAAAAGAAATCAAATTGGTATCTTTTCATCTTCACTGAGCTACTCTAAGTCTTCACTATTCACGATGAATCGCTGCAATATCTAAGATGATCCTTGCTTTTATGTCTGTTATGACTCAAGTTCACTCCAGACTTCAAGTGAAACATATATAAAGGGTGTTTCATTAAGACGGATTATATATAAAGGTGTTTCATTTAAACGGATCAAAGTCAGCAGTAAATAAATCAGCGTTATTGGTAAACAAATTATTTATTTGTCTATTAGATCATGTTATTTAAGTCATGGCAATTATGTGTGAAAAATAATATCGCCCAAATATTCGCCAAATCTGAAAGAATAAAGAAAAAGAATCATTAGACGCTTAAACTTAATTCACATTTAAAATCAATCTAAGTTATTAGAAAACCCTTTATAATCCATCGCTAAAGATCCATAAACCACTTCAGAAAGTAACTGACTCCTGCTAACTTTTCCTATCTTTACAAGAGCCAGATCAAACTAAAAATGGAGCATTACTGCCAGTTCTAGGCTGAAGCTGCTTAATCCTCTCTTTCCAGCCTTGACAGAATTAAAAAAGCGTTTACACGGCCTTGTAGGTGCTGAAATATTTCCCACACTACGACCCCTTTTCCATAGACACAACATTGCAGGCCTATTGATACTGTCGCTATTTTCTTAGCAGATGTTAAATCCACCATTTCAGAGTTTTACAATTAAGTCCCGACATACTATGTACACATGTGTGAACCATCCACATTCCCTTCGTATTTCATTGGTAAGTAGGAAGATCTATTCGGACAGCTACTTCCAAAGCACCGCTGCTTTGTGGAACAGACTCCCGACAACTCCAACCATAACCTCTGCAAGTTCAAGAACAACCGTTATCTATCCTAGATATTTTCATAATCTAAGATTCTTACGTCCACAAAATAACCTCATTCAGCAACCATCTTCCTTGAGTGGTTCTTGGACGTTGCATTGGATGGACAATAGCTTAAGAAATGTTTAGCTTTGACTTTGCTGTGGACACAGAATTGTGGTAGATGTTGTGCTTTATCAATTGTAGACAACATAATGGTAATATTAGAAGTTTACCTTATAAGGAAGCATTTGGCATTCATTGACAAAGCAGATAGTATTACTGTTAGTTGAAATTTATAAAATATTTCTATTAAAACATTTTTTTTTAGGAAAATAAGTTTCTCAAGTCCAGTAGCTGTCATCACTCTTTCTAGTACTAATGGGTATTTCCTTCCTAACCTTTTGTTTAAAGTAATGTGGAATGTCAACATCTTCATTATGTTATGATTTTTCTCTTTGAGTTACATATGATAAAGTCCTCAAGTGATGCGGTTTCTTATATCTGGTAAAGTTTTTTGTTTGTGATTCTGTAGCGTCAGCACAGAAGATTCGAAGAAATATGATCTTCGCTAAGACCGATTTTTAATCATTGATCTGAGAAAACGGCTGTATACAACTGACAGTTTAGATATTTCTGCCAATTTAAATGTCATAATTAAAATTGTAATGCGCGGAAAGTAAATATATGGATACAAAATTATAATAGCGCTCGATATTCTCTGTCAAGATATCCTGCCCTAGACACAGCCACTGTTGTTATGGCTGCAATACATGCGGTGCACCTACCAAGAAACTTCGATGTCGGGATAAAAATTGATATTTAAAAGTTAAGTAATCTTTTCATATATATTATCTCTCTCTCTCTCTCTCTCTCTCTCTCTCTCTCTCTCTATATATATATATATATATATATATATATATATATATGTGTATGTGTGTGTGTGTGAAACAGGAGCTATTAATTTTAGGAAAACCTATCGTGGGGAAAAACTCTCGTGTATGAAATAAGACCCTCGAAAAAAAAAAAAAAAACACAAGAAGAAAGTGAAGGAAATGAAAGAAAGAAATCATAAAAACGATGAATGAAAGAAGGAAAAGAAATTGGGATTGATTGTCGGAAAGAGAAGCGATGAGAACAAAGTAAGTCGAAATAAAAGACAAAGATCTAAAAAATATATGAAATGAAAGCCGTCAAAAAAAAAAAAAAAAATGGTGGCAAATGAAAGAAAAAAATATGAATGAAAAACGCTGCGTAAGAAAATGCTTAATGAATAACATTTTAAATTTAGTGTCGGGCGTAAATTGTAAACAAGCGGGAATTGTCAAGTCTATGAGGACAAAAGAACATATACTTTAATAGTAGCACACAAGCGTGAAATGTAAAAGACTTTGAAGTAACGAATACCTATATATATATATGTATATATATATATATATATATATATATATATATATATATATCTCTGAAATTTTTTTTAACCCTACCTTAATATTTGGTCATTGAAATACTGATTTGAAAAGTGGGTCAAGATGAGAGGAACTACCGTGTATGTATGTATGTATAACGAAAAATGGAAAATAAAAAAAATAAAGTTCGAATATTTTGGCATTAATGTTGTTATATTAAAAGTTTTTGAATATTTATATTTATCACGTTAGTAACGGATTTTCGAATAGTTCAATAATGAAATTTTAAATTCGGAGTTAATGATTAGCGTTTCTTGGAGTACAAATATGGTATTTGTGAATAGTTCAATCGAATTATTTATCTGACCCTGATGAAAGAAACTGTTCGCGCAACTTTGAAGTCGGTAGAAAGACAAGTTATTTGAACATTTAATACTTTATGGACTTCTTATATATATATATATATATATATATATATATATATATATATATATATATATATCGAGTCTAGGAGAAGAACAATGAATTCAAAACCAGCGGAGGGTCGTTTGAGGACCTTGTGGCACGTAGTGCACCAAGTCTCTGTATTCGGCCCTTCAAAAAGTGTGAATGGTTCTACACAAAGATTTCACCACTATAATCAAATCATATATGCTGATATCTGGCTGTCGGTTCTTGGGAACTGAACAGCTTGACCCATACGTCGAATACGAGAGGAGAATCCACCATATATATATATATATATATATATATATATATATATATATATATATATATATATATCTGTGTGTGTGTCTTTTGTGTGCCTGTGAGCGTGGGTGCATACAAAAGATTTTGAAGAAATGAGAATTAAGTAGAAAATTCGTGTATATTTGTTAATCTACCTCTGTCTGTATCAGTTTTAAGTCTCTGTTCCCATTTTCTATATCATTTGACGAGATTAGAGGCAAAAAACAAACCAAACCTGGCACCCGATTTCAGCTTCAGCCACGTTGCTGAACATCCGTCCGCGCAGGAACTTAGCTATAGTTCGAAAAAGGTGGTAATCTGATGGTGGATGTCGGGATTGTAGGTAGGTTGAGGTAGTACTTTCAGCACCTTACGCTTGCATTTTATCACATTGGCAGTAGGTGCTGAGTCATTGTCATGCTGTAGGTGTGCTTATCTACGACTGACCAATGTCGGGTAGCTTGCTTTTAAAGCATCTTATACTCTCTGCAGTTGTTGAGCATAAAGCTCAGTGTTCACAGCATGATCATCTGGGGCATGCTCAAAATGCAACACATCGAAATACCACCAAACAAACAACATGGACTTCTGTTCAAAACATTTTTTTTACAAAAGGTTCTCAAGCAAAGGCCAACAGTTGTCAGTAAATATTCACGAGCCTCGTCACGGATCAATTCATGCCGAACTTCTCAGTAGCGTCTGCTGACAGGGCCGAGCTTATGGAAATGTCGATTGATGGTACTTTGTGAAGGACAAAGTTCTGCCGACAATGTACGAGTGCTTGTGCTTGGCTGATTTCAAGCAAGGCCTCATCTTCTACAACCTTGGTTTGTCTTTGAGATCAGTGCCAACTTTCTTGAAACGTCGGAACTAACTTTTGTGCCACACGTTCGTTGACAGTTCCTAAGCTTTCCGCATCATTAATTTCTTTTATTTTTTTTTATTAGAAAAATATACGCTCTCCGGTAGGATTCGACTTCATATATATATATATATATATATTCCCAACACTTTTTTGGCCATGCACCACCTAAGCATCTGTAAAACTTTCATGCTCTCGCCCCATGTGGTATATAATTCTTCTTTATTCAAAAGGTCAACTCCTATTCACGTGGATGTAGTTTAAGAGGCCATGAACTTAACTTTCCTTGAGACTGTTTATATGCAATAGTACTATTATTTAATTTTAGAATTTTAATAATAATAAACAGTATTAAACAACATTTACCGGCCTGAATGTTCGAGAAATTTTCACAGAAAATATTCAGACCGGTGAATGTTGTTTAATACTGTTTATTATAAACAGAGCATTTACTTAAATATTTGTATCTATAAAAATAATGTATAAACATAAAAATGTCTTAAAATAATTGTCGGACTTTGTGCATTTCATAATATCTATCTATCTATCTATCTATATCTATCTATCTATCTATCTATCTATCTATATATATATATATATATATATATATATATATATATATATATGATATATACAGTACATACGTAATTACTCATGTATATACATACATACATACATACGCACAAATATTTTATGTATGCATACACACTCAGACTTACACTGACTCACAAGAAAAAAAATCACTGGTAACTCATTCTCTAATTGCCGCCTTAGAATCAAATTTCCCCCTATGGGGCGTGCCCCTAATGTTGGAGGACCACGGTGTTAGAGAAATTTGAAAATACATTGATCAACCTGTATTGGAATAATTTCGATCGTCCATATTCACTTTTTAATGGCTTTAATGGCCTAAGGTTGTTTAATTTTGAATTTTTAACAAAAAGAGAAATTAAGGTGAAAATATATTGAAAGAGTACTAATTTCAGAATCCTCAACAGTAAATTTACGTCTGGATTATACATCTCTTTGTCAAAGGAATGCCCATGTAATGTGGAATATCTAAAAACAATAGCGATAAAAATAAAAACAAAAGCGATATAAAGCTGAATAAGGTCGTTTAAGTTATGCATCCAGATACGACACGTCACGAGTTCCTCGTAAGGGCACCATATGTGCTACAGTTGTGTGTTCAGGGCAATATATATATATACAGTGTAACCCGGATATAAGAGAGTTGTCGGGAACGGAGAAGAAGTCTCTTATATCCGGGTTTCTCTTATAGCCGGGTTAGGTCTATTTTGTTTAGGTAAGTATGGGAACACTTCATATAACGCTTTTTACGTACAGAACACTAGTTTATTTAACAGTTATAGACATAAAAAAACATAGACAAAAATACATTTTCAATCAGTTTTCAAAATAATTCAATCAAAAATTACTTTTTCTTAAATTTCAGTCATTTTTGATTGTCCAGAAATCTCTTTGTTAACATCATGAACACTTTCATACAGTCCGTAAATCATTTTCAATGCGCCATCAGGATTACTGCTTTTTGCTTCAAAGTAGGCTGTCAGAGTTTCAAGCGCATTCAATGCAGCCAGAGAATTTGGCACTGGTTTGTCACTTTCAGAAACTTCAGAACTTACGCTTTCGGCATCATCATCTTCGTCAAAATCTTGATCATCCGATTTTATACGACGCGTGATGTCTGTGTCAGTCAGTTCTCCATAACATTGTGTCGGCGGTCGTCGAAGCTGATAAATTCGTCAAAATCTGTTTGCTCCATGCCCGATGGTGGAGAAACTTGATCATTTTCGTCGACTATTTCTTCCACTTCAGCCTGTGATTCAATGACAAAGCCGGCCTTTTTAAAACAATTTTGAATTGTTGACGGTTTGACCATGAAAAGTGCTCGCTTCATCATGTGCTTGGCCTTCAAAACAGTTATCTGCTTAGCCACCTCGGACAGCGGCACTGGCGGTGTAGCATCGATCGCATTCGAACAAGCTCCCGACGATAATACGCTTTGAATGAACGAATGATACCTTGATCCAAAGGTTGAATGAGACTGGTGGTGTTTGGTGGCATGAACGACAATTTGATGTTTGACAGATTTGTACCCGGCAGTAAGTTATGACAAGTTGCATTGTCCAAAAACAGAATAATCTTTCGATTTTGAGCAATCATTTTTCGATCAAGCGTTTTCATAACGGCAATAAACTGCTGACTAGTCATCCAGGCTTTACGATTAGCGAAGTAAGAAAACGGCAGAGTTTTGACATTTTTAAAGCGGCGTGGTTTTGCCGACTTACCAACAACTACAGCTTGCTTTTCACTGCCGTCCATGTTTGTGAACTGAAGCATCGTGAGTCTGTCTTTGGGAACTTTAGTCCCATTTGACTGTTCGTCGCCGGCAAATCGCAAAGATCCAGACGGCATGGCTTTGTAGAAAATTCCCGTTTCATCACAATTCCAAACATCTTTTTTGGATCATATCCACGAAAAGTTGCGGCAAAACTTTTGTCACCCATTCGTTGGCAGAACCGTGATCTGCTGACGTTGATTCGCCGTGAAATTTTTTTTTGAACGAAACGTTATTGGCCTGCTTCCAGCGCATGAGCCAGCCATTGCACGGTTCAAAATCAACTTCAAGATTTACGGCCAGTTGTGATGCTTTCTGCCTGATGACGTGATCGGTGACGGTAGCTCCATGAGCACATGCTTGCGTAAACCATTGTGTAAGCGCTTCGTTAACGTCCTTGTGCACGGATTGGCGCTTTCGTTTGCGATTAGTGTTTCCGTTCATTTGCATGCAAGATCTGAGATCGTCTTCTTTCTTGAGAATTTTTGCTGCTGTTGAATAACCGATTCCGTACTTTTTGGCTGCAGCGGCCACTTTGAGTTTCTTCACTTTGACATCGTCGATGAGCTCCAACTGTTCAGAAATGCTCAGAGATTTTCGTTGAGACGCCGACATCACTAATCGCAATGATCGCAAGCAAACGGTTTTCAGGGGCAAAATTAACAAACAGACAAACTTCTGACTCAACAGAACAGTGAGTAAAGTGAAAGTGCTGTCCAGTCAATGCAACGACAAGCAAAGTCGGCAAAAAAGCGGGCGGCGCTACCCTTAGACACACAAAGCAAAATCATAAGGTAGAGGGTGTCTCTTACAGACACAGATTGGACACACCGTGTCTCTAGACTAGTCAAGATTAAGTCATTGAACTTAACTTTCTCTCTAACTGACCTCTGTTTGACCGATTTACGACATCACACTTTCACTCAAAACGAACTCTCTTATATCGGGGAGACGGAACCAGAGAAATTCTTTCTTATATCCGGGTTTCTCTTATATCCGGGTCTAATTTATATACATTAACACAGGCTCTAATTTGGGACCAGAGAAAATCTCTCTTATATCCGGGTCTCTTATATCCGGGTTACACTGTGTATATATATATATATATATATATATATATATATATATATATATATTGCCCTGGACACACAACTGTAGCACACACACACACACACACACACACACACACACACACATATATATATATAAATGGTGTTCCAATAACTTGGACTGATTTTAAATGTGAAGCGTCTTTAAGCGTCTAATGATTTTTTTCTTTTCTTTCAGATTTGGCAGACATTTGGGCCATATTATTTTTCACACATAATTGCCAAGACTTAAATGACATGATCCAATAGAGAAATAAATACATTTTCACCAATAACACTGATTTATTTACTGCTGACTTTGATCCGTCTTAATGAAACACCTATATATATAAAGCGTCTTAATGAAACACCCTTTAGACATATACATACGTATACATACATACATACATATATATATATATATATATATATATATATATATATATATATATATATATATATATATATAAGTGACTTTATTGAACATAAACGTTATTATTATGAAGAAGTTTTGTCATTCGAACCCCATAATGTTCCATAATTCAGAGTTAAAGAAAAATGTTAAAGTATTTATTGTTTTTCGAGAGGCCGATAAAAATATAGAAACAAAAATGCCGAAAACTTTGAAATACGATACTCTGAATTCTAAATAGGTATCCGTATTAAAATCATAGTCAAGCATAGTTGCGTATAAGTCAGTAATGACATAAATTTAACACGTGTGCAGGCCGACATCTGTGGAACATCTGTAAGACGCCTCGCCATGGAGTAATGGATAACAAAGTAATTATTCCGACTATTACTATTGTCAGGATTTCTACCTTCATAGGCACTCAACGGTTCTCTCGCTGTGCCGGTCTGATCTAAGATTAATCACGTTACACCACGCTACTAGTCCTGTAAACCATTAACGTTTCGAGGGCACTGCATGTACTGCCGTCATAGCAGCAGTAGTGTGTCTACGGCAAGATAACCTGACAGAGATCATTCCACTTTTAGGTTCGTTTTCAATTTAGAATTTTCCTTATCCCAGGCTGGATGCCACTCCGGGCAAGATAACCCAGTCTGCCTTATGGGGAGTTAGTCTCATACTCTTTCAAGGGTAGCTGTACGAAAGCAAACGCAACGGCTATGGTTGGAATCTGAAGTTGGTATGGTAATCATAATTTCAACGAGGATAGCCACTACGCGAACATCCATAATGTAGGTACCTCCAAAGATTCTCTGAAAATGTGTATACATGATAAAAAATTCCCAGACTTAATAAAAAAAACAAAGTTTTATCGCAAAAAAATATTATGTTATTATTAAGAGGAAAGACCACGGGATTTTTTTAATTATTGAATTATATTAAATCCATTTGAGAACCAACAAAATTTTGGTTAAAAGTTTTTTTCTTGCTTTTTTTTTGCTTTTTTTCCACTGACCATGAGTATAGGAAATTTTAGTGTCTTTTTCGTTGAAAAATACATTAATTCGGAAATTTTTTGTGCAAAACCAAATAATTGTCGTATTTTAATGAAACTTTCAGAACTTATTCACAAATGAATTAAATTATTTCAGAAAAACATTTTAGAAAAATTTTGTAAAAATATTTTTTACATCTGTTATCGCCACCACCATTTATTTAATTTTATAAAATTTATAGAAATGATTTTTGTAAGGTTTAATGTTTATATTAATTACAAAGACAACTCCTTGGAGAATTTAAATCATCATTTTTTCTTTGTAAAACAGGACTCCCAGTTATCGAAAATCTGCTCTGAATCGTAAAATAAAAATGCATATGGCATAATGTATATATTTGTAAAAATTTGGTAAGATATGTCTCGCCGTGGAATAAACTCGTTACACAGGTCATTACTCTTGTAGTGAGTTTGATACGAAGCTAATGAGTTCTTACTAAGCTGAAGTTGGTATATATATATATATATATATATATATATATATATATATATATATATAGGTTGGTGCAAAATAATGACGTAATAATGTCGTTTTTGACCTATTTTTAACGTCAAAAACATTATGACGTCATTTTTGCACCAACCTAATATATATATATATATATATATATATATATATATATATATATATATATATGCAGAACTATGATCAAGGTGACCTTTTTCCTTGTCGTTGAGTAGGGGTTAACATACTAGCGTTGAATACCATTCTTACTGTAGTGAGTTTGCTCTTCAATGGAAACGCCAAAATATATCCTTTTGCCCGACTGGGTTATGCTTAGTAATCTATATTATCAAAGGGGAGCTAATTCTATATCTGTCAAATACTGCGTATGAATTTTCATGCGTGTATATATGTCATGTGGCTCTGTTTCTCGTGACATCTATTTGTGCTATTTAAGGTACATACAAACACACGCATACAATTTGATTGGGTTTGGAATAAAACATTAGAATAATGCATCCCCTTTTCCATTCAGTCTGGATAATCCCTACCCTGGACCGATAAACAAAATCATATATTCGAAGACAAAAACGTATATTTTTTAAACCCTAAAAAAACATCAAATAATAGTTTTCAAAACATTGGTGAAAAACAAAAAATTACTAAAATTTTGTATATTCTAAAAAGTATTAAGAAAATATAATTTAATAATAAAAAATATTTAGTATTTCCTGTTAATAATAGCATAAATATTTTGACAATAAAACTTTGTTTTCATTAAATTTGGTACATTTTTCATCATGTTTGCTCATTTTTCAGCCAATCTTTGGAGGCATCTATATATAATATAAATACGTATTGGAATCTAAACGTTTATTTACTAAATACTAACCATTAAAAGACTTTATTTTTAGTGGATACTCGTATCTGAGTAGACACTCCTTTTATTTATTAAACAGTATATTTATCTATTTTCGTCTGATGTTCGAGAAAATATTCACTAAAAATAATGTTTAAATGATAAAAAATCTGTTGGAGCAATAAAAATTCATTATTTTCTTCATAAAAAATTGCTTTGTTTACGTTTGGATACGAAACTGTGCAGATATGAAAAATTTCGGGAGATCTATAACGTGTGAAGTTACACTTAAAGGCACAATTTCGCCCTTGCCTGACGGACTGGTTCTCTATAACTCAGTAACGGTTAGCTTCCTCTGCTCAGGGAACGCCGGTTCGAATCCTGCCGGACAGCGCAAATTTTTATTTAAAAAGACCGGTAGACAAAAATAAATAAATATACTGTTTAATAAATAAACGGAGCGTCTACTCAAATACAAGTGTCCACTAAAAATAACGTTTAAAGTCTTGTATCATTTTAATCTCTCGGATTAATAAAAATCCGTTACTTTCTTTAGAAAAAAAAAATCTATACTCAACATAAAATTTGTCTCGACTACGTCTAAAACAATAAAAGACTTAATTGATATAAAACAAAATAATAAAGCGTAAATGAATAATTTACTCTAAATACTTGTATCAGTTGTTACAAGAAATACATTATAAATGGTACAAGTAATTTAAATAAAAGATCATATGAACAAAAAAGGGATCTTTTACAACACAACACACTAATTGCATTAGTTGTCCACCATAATGATTCTGACTATAATTTTGATTTAAGTAAATGCTACTCTAATTAAAAGGAAAAGCAATTTTCTAAGTTGAAAATATATAGAAAGTGCTTTAATCGCTAGATCATCCACAGTAAATTTACGTCCAGGTTCTTGTAATAATTTACCTTTCTTGGCAGATTTATTATCACAGTTTGAGATAGTTAATAACAAAAGTGATGAAAACATGAACAAAAAGGAAAAGAAGCGAAGTGAAATCGGTTAGATTATATACCTTAAACATATATTAAAAAAATTGAAATTGAAATTTTCAGTGTCCTCTTTCTTTCGTGCGCATGTGCATGCGCATGTGTAGTCGCATCACCGTAAACTCCGCTTTAGTCCGATGAAGTCCGATAGGACGTAACGTGTCACACAAAAGGTTTCTCCGAAACTGCTGGAACAAGTCAAGAGATTAAATATTATTATTGTGGAACTTTTTGAAAATTAAAACACTTTTATTATTTAATAAAGAAATTAAGTATCAATTGAAAGCAGAATAAACAGACGAAATTTAATGACACTTTTAAATTTGAAAACATTTCGTTTCAATATTTGAATGTTAACGTTAATATATTTTCTTTTTGCATGTCTCGATGCTAGTACAGTCATGAATAAACACTATAGTTATTTTTAATGTCTGGTTCTCCAAGTATGTCCGTCTGCTGGGATAACTAATTCAGCCCTTCTCAGGCGGCTTTGTGTTTCTGCAACGACCATAGACGATATTTTCTGGTTAAAACTGCAACTAATGCTGCGCGAACCTTAGCCACAATCTGAATCTGTCGCAATCTGAACAAATACCTTTATTCAGATCATATTGAAACTTGTTCATTATCTATCTATCTATCTATCTATCTATTACAATCTGAACATATACCTTTATCATGTCAGTCAGAACATAATGAAATCTATCTATCTATCTATCTATCTATCTATCTATCTATCTATCTATCTATCTATCTATCTATCTAAGGCCTGTTCAAGTCTGCCTGTTTATCTATCTATCTATCTATCTATCTATCTATCTATCTATCTATCGTCTGTTCATTATCTATCTATCTATCTATCTATCTATCGTCTGTTCATTATCTATCTATCTATTTATCTATCTATGTATTTATGTATGTAACTATCTATCTATTACAATCTGAACATATGCCTTTATTCATGTCAGTCAGAACATAATGAAATGTGTTTATCTATCTATCTATCTATCTATCTATCTATCTATCTATCTATCTATCTATTACAATCTGAACATATACCTTTATCATGTCAGTCAGAACATAATGAAATCTATCTATCTATCTATCTATCTATCTATCTATCTATCTATCTATCTATCTATCTATCTATCTAAGGCCTGTTCAAGTCTGCCTGTTTATCTATCTATCTATCTATCTATCTATCTATCTATCTATCTATCTATCTATCTATCTATCGTCTGTTCATTATCTATCTATCTATTTATCGTCTGTTCATTATCTATCTATCTATCTATCTATCTATCTATCTATCTATCTATCTATGTATGTATGTATGTATGTATGTATGTATGTATGTATGTATGTAACTATCTATCTATTACAATCTGAACTTTATTCATGTCAGTCAGAACATAATGAAATGTGTTTATCTATCTATCTATCTATCTATCTATCTATCTATCTATCTATCTATCTATCTATCTATCTATTAGTCTCTTCATATCCATATATACATTGTTCAATGCAGGTCAGGCGTTACAACTCCAACACCATGATGAATTCGTTACTGTTTGAAACATCATAAAATGACTGCTTACATAGAGTAAACAATTTCAACGTTGGTTGTAACATATTGTCAGCCCTCTGTATCGTCATACACAAAAGATGTTGACACGTCTTTTCATTTTCTTGTACAATATATATTAAGCAATATAATTGTAATTTACCGACAGCAAGACTTGCTCAGGCTATTGAACTCATTCTTTGACACCGCTGTTTTTATTAACACGATCTTTAGAACGATTCATTCTACAGCCTTCTTCAGGTGTATAATCTCTAACGAAAGGGAGAGGACTCTTTTGCTACTGAAATTTGGAGGTAGGGAGACAGAAACAAAATGGCAGCTAACTCGCTTTGCCCATTCTCGGCAACAGAAGTCACCATTTTCACCAATCTAAGGGATTCTGTATTTATTTAATGAATATGTTGTCTACTTTATTACTTGATGAGCGATGAAACCAGCACTGACCTAAGATTCACACCTACCCGATGGCAGTAATATATACCCACCTACCCGATGGCAGTAATATATACCCACCTACCCGATGGCAGTAATATATACCACTTCCGTCAATTATCTCACCTTCCAGCAATGTTCTCTGTGTTTTATTTGGACCCTAACCCAAAGGGAATAATATCTGTTACCTTCTTCAGTTTTCTCACCGTCCAGCAATCTATCCCTATGTCTTATTAGAGACGATAATGTTTGTCACCTCCTTTAATTTTCTCATCTTCCTGTAATGTTCTCTATTGTTTGAACCTGATCCTAGAGGGAGTAATATCTGTTACTGCTTTCAAATTTCTCCATCAATGTACTACTATCTACTATTTGAACCTCATCCTAGAGAAACTGATTTTTGTCACCTTTTTAAAATTTCTCACTATCTAGTAATGTTTCCTATCCATAATTTGGATATCATCCCAGAGATGACAATGTTTGTTAATGCCTTCCATATTCTCCTCTTCTAGCAATGTTCACTATTATTAACTTCTGTCAGTTTCTTTACTTTCTATCAGTGTTCATTATTATTTGAATCTTATTTTAGAGAGGATACTCTATGCCAGCAGATATGTCATACCAGAGTTTTCTACTTCATTCTGACTTAGCAGATCGGAATGAGTAATCTGAAAGCCATTCAAATTCCAGTCGAATTCATTACATGGGTAAACAATGATTCCATCGCCTCAGCTGTGAATTAAATTATAGGACTTGTACCTGGAAAAATCATTGTTATTCTCAAAACATTGATAATGCAATATGCACTCGCAAATAAAAATGAACAAATCCAAAATATGTCTTGGTTTTAAATATCCCACAAACGGTTGATAAATCGTAAAAAAGAAATCAATCAATTAATCCATTGTAGCTATAACGTTTTATGTGCCTCGAGTATGACTTTAAGGTGAGTAATTTCATACAATAGAAACCACAGGAGCCAGCACTTGCACCCCTAACTAGAAAGCAAGTTATGTACTTTCATTTAGTGGTCTCAATTGGGTTTGTAGATAGCTAAAAATTCTACTCTTCAGTCAGTTACAACTACAATAACCGTAAGTTCTTTCTTTCTTTCTTTCTTTCTTTCTTTCTATCTTTCTTTCTATCTATCTATCTATCTATCTATCTATCTATCTATCTTTCTTTCTTTCTTTCTTTCTTTCTTTCTTTCTTTCTCATTAGACTCAGTTTTTCGTGTCCAATAGCTTCGCATTTTTATTTGTTTTCTTTCTTTCTTTCTTTCTTTCTTTCTTTCTTTCTTTCTCTCTTTTATAAGTTGTCCTTCCTTTTCAACATATTTTCTTTTTACTTTTCCTCACTCATCTTTCTTTCTTTTTCTAATTCTCCTCCCTTTCGTTCGTCTTCTTTGTTTCTTTCTCTCTTTCTTTCTTTCTTTCTTTCTTTCTTTCTTTCTTTCTTTCTTTCTTTTACGGCATATTTTTTCTTTATCTCTACTCAGCTCTTTTATCAATTTTCTTATTGAACCTCCCATTCATTAGTTCTTTCTTTCTTTCTCTCTTTCTTTCTTTCTTTCTTTCTTTCTTTCTTTCTTTCTTTCTTTCTTATTAGACTCAGTTTTTCATGCCCAATAGCTTCTCATTTTTATTTGTTCTTTCTTTCTTTCTTTCTTTCTTTCTTTCTTTCTTTCTTTCTTTCTTTCTTTCTTTCTTTCTTTTATAAGTTGTCCTTCCTTTTCAACATATTTTCTTTTTACTTTTCCTCACTCATCTTTCTTTCTTTTTCTAATTCCCCTCCCTTTAGTTCGTCTTCTTTCTTTCTTTCTTTCTTTCTTTCTTTCTTTCTTTTACTGTATATTCTTTCTTTGTCTTTATTCGGCTCTTTACTCGGTCTTTTTCTAATCTATTTTTTTCGTTTTTCTTTCTTTTTGACATTTCATTTTCATTAGCCTTGGTATATTTTTTGTTTTTCTCACTCTCTACTTTCTTAATTGAAACGTCTAATTTTTTTATACATTTTTCTTAATTAAAACAGATTTTGAAAGGATTATACAACGTAAATTAATCTGAGTTAGAAGTCCTCTCGTTCCCCATGTGTATTCTCACCGTCTCGCTTTCTCTCTCCCACTATATATATATATATATATCACTCCCTCTCAAGTCTTGTGATCTATGTTTCTTTACAGGTTGTTTTCTTCTGCCTTCTCTCCCTTTCAGGTTAAATCTGCATAAATAGCGCACAAAAATGCACTCACCCATCAACACTTACCACAAGTGCACCAGTGTGAATAATAAGTACATTCTTATTACATCGCAACAAGATTGCAAAACATTCACACAAAAGTGACAAACACCATTGTATATGAAAACATTAGCATTCTTGCAAACAAGTTTATCAAATCAGGCAAATACCGTTTATTTGCTCTCGTGTCAGACGAAAAAACAAAACGGAATAAGGAAAAAATCGGACGCTGTGTAGTCTTCCGCCTACTTAATATATATTTCATAAACAACAAATTTTATCAAGTAATATGTACTAAGTCAAAGTTCCAATGTGACCAGTATAATCTACCTTTCATTCGTGCATTGAATATTATTGCCACTTCTGATCTGGTTATACTGTTATGTATCTAGAGTTTTTAAAGAAGGATCTGCAAAGTTATCGGTCCTGACATGACATCTCGATTTAAGCCACTTTCTCATACGCCGTAACGTAGCTTCACTTTGAGTTTTCCATAGATATTTTTTGGCGATTATTCTGTTGAGCTTTTTGGTATCTTGATTCACAAATTTAAGCGAAGTATGACATTGCAGTGCCAGATAGAATTGTAATAGAGATGCTGGCATCTTTAGATGATTTAGGCATTGACAAAATTGCAAAAATAAAAAAAATGAAATATCAAAAAAGTGGTAATATAACGGAGAAGCTAAGTAGATCAATTTTCAGAACGCTGCTTAAGAAGCCAGATGAAAACGAATTCGTAACCCGTCGGGCAATCAGACAAATGAGTCCTATAACTGTTGTAACCTAGGGAAGGTTACTGAATAGAATAATCACAAGAATATTGGTAATGGGTATGTCCCCATTCATATAAATACAGTAGTAAATACTGTATGTTGGTCTACAGTTGGAGATTCATTGTGGAATTCACTTGATTCATTTCTAGCAGTTGATACTTCTCTACTCGCCGGTGGTGAATCTTATATGTGTTGTTCTTGTGCTAAGTATTATCGCTCATTACCAATCTTCGTGTAATTATTCTATTCAGTAACCTTCTAAGGTTACAACACATTCGAATTGAGAAATAATAACTTCTCTTTTCTTAATTCCTTTTATTTTAATTTTCTTGCTCCATAATATTTTCTCGGATTCTTTCATCCTTGCGTTTTAGTGGCTTTGTTGATTTACTTGGGGTGAAATAATTAAAAAAAAAATGTCCGCTGAGGAGACATATGCTTGTTTTGTCCTTTTTTCTTTTTTGCGTCTTACTGACTTCCTTTTCTATCTGTATGCAGCCGTTTGATCACGCAGTATAAGATCTTGGTTATTCTAATATCTTTCTCAAATAGGTCAAGCTTGCTTAGCAGTTCAAACGATTATTTGTGTCGAAACTTATCAAAGAGTTTTTTTTTCATCAACTGCATTTGTATTGCTTTTCTGGTATCATAAATATTGCATTCATTGTTCAAGTATATTTAACGAAACCGCACTTTTGTTGTCCTATTTCCGGTTTAACACTGCTACGCGATTTAGTCATCAGAATTCGGATGATAAGTTTCTTTATGTGACACATTGTGCAGATTGTCCGATGAAGCTTGCATTCATTTGCACCTGGCTTTTTAGCAGCGCTAGTAAAATGCATCTCGTAAGGTTTTCTGGTATATCACCATTGTTGCATATTTCATTCATTATGTTTGTAATTTTTCCAATGCCGAAATCTAGAATATCTATCTAAAAACTCGTATCACAGACATTCGCCTAATTTCGTATATTTTCGAATTTCAATGTCTCATTTATTCAGGGCAGTGTTTACGCGAAAGGTAACGTATTTTGATAACATCTGTCACTTCTGTAAAGAATACATTTCATTTTACTTACTTCATTAATCTAATTCGTTCGTTTCTTGCGAGCTAAATAATAATAATAATAATAATAATTCTGTTCTGTCTGTCCTTAACCCCTCTTTTGCATGAACTAAACAGTAATAACTATGGATACAAGGTAAAAAAGAAAATGTCTAATCACCTATTCTACATGAATGATATCAAGTACTTTCCCAACGACATTGAGTTGAAGGCTTTTCTCAGTACAATGTGCTTACGGCCATCACTGAAACTGTCTACCGAGCTCTTCAAAATAACGGGGAAGCTCGTGCCGTGGCCCTAGACATCTCCAAAGCGTTTGATAGGGTTTGGCATGCCGGCCTTCTTCGCAAGCTCCAGGGTTATGGCATTACGGGTCGATTGTTTGACCTAATACAATCATTCCTGTCAAACCGTGAATTGAAGGTCGTTCTCAACGGATTCTCCTCCAGTTCCTATCCCACGAACGCAGGTGTTCCTCAAGGCTCCATCCTAGGCCCCACTCTATTCCTTATCTACATAAATGACCTTCCTGACGTCATAAATTCCCCAAGTTGGCATCTACGCGGATGACACCACAATTTATTCCTGCCTCAAAAACAAATCTAGTGTCAGTGACAAAAATAACCTGGCCGTGCGTCTCGAAAAGGACCTGCGAACTGGGGCAGGAATTGGCTGGTCAACTTTAATGCCTCAAAAACAAAACTGCTTTCTATTAATCACCACAGAGATCCTTCCCTTCCCCCCCCCTTAGAATGTCTGACGCCCAACTGCTCGAGAGTACCTCTCTGCGGCTGCTCGGTCTCACGTTGACTGCTGACCTGAGATGGAACAAATACATTGAGTCAATTGCTTCGTCCGCAGCAAGGAAAGTTGGCTCCCTGTGCCGCGCTAGGAAATTTTTCTCCACGGAATCTGTCCTTCAGATTTACAAATCAACAATTCGCCCTTGCATGGAGTATTGCTGTCATATATGGTCTGGAGCCCCTTCTGTTTGCCTCGGGGTTCTTGATAGGCTCCAGAGGCGGATATGCAATATAATTGGCCCTGCTCTGGCATCCCCTCTATAGTCACTCTCACACAGACGCGCCGTCACCTCTCTCTGTCTTTTTTACAAATACTTTCATGGCAATTGCTCCGAGGAGCTGCATTCGCTGGTTCCCAGACTTCATGAGTTCAAGCGCCCGACGAGGCTGGCATCCTGCTCTCACCCCTTCACTGTCGAAACTCCTAAATGTAGCCGTTTCTTCTACTCCAGTAGCTTCATGTCTTGCACCTCTCGCCTGTGGAACTCCCTTCCCTATTCTAGTTTCCCTGAGAGCTATAATCTCCAGCTATTCAAATGTAATGTCACTCGACATCTCCAGTTGCTTTGATCTATCCACTACCCTTCTCCTCATCCTTTCTTCTATCACTTCTATCTGATCTTGCTCCAAATTTTCTGTAACCCCTTGCATCCTAGTGGCTTCCCGCCTTGCTTGGGGTTAAACGCTTAAAAAAATACTGTAAAATGTTTCAGTGATGACATCATTATGGATTTCGGATTAGATAAACATGCAAAAGTAACATTCAATAAAGGGAGAATTAGAATTACAGAAACACACTCAATAGATTTAAATTTTGTCACAAAGATTAGGGAACTGGAACAAAGAGAAGCCTATAAATACCTAGGAGTCAGCGAAGATGATGGAATACAGCATAACCAAATGAAGGAGAAAGTAAGAAAAGAATACTACAGGCATGTGCGTCTGGTGTTAAATACCAACTTGAATTCACAAAACAGAATATCAGTCATAAAGTCTTTGGCTGTCCCTGTGGTACCACGCAGTTTCAACATCCTTAATTGGACAATAGTTTACATTAAGCGAATGGATGTCAAAACGAGAAAGTTTCTCACTTGCAACTGCATGCATCATCCAAAGGCTGATATTGATCGTCTATATATGCCTATATCCAAAGGAGGTAGAGGATTAGTTCAACTAGAATTTTCTTATAAAGCTACAATAATCGGTCTTCAAAGATACCTGGAAACTACGGAAGACTGGTTGATGATCTGTGTCAAAGAACATGAAAGAAACATTATTCAGTAATAAAGTAAGCCGACAAATTCAAAAGGGAATTTGAAGTTGGTAAATAAGTGCTAATAAAGCATAATACGCTTACTACAGCGACAAAGAACCTAAAAAAGAAAGTAAAATCAAATGTTATGTACCAAATACAGAAACGATGGCAAGATAAGCCTCTTCATGGTTTAATACTCTACCCGTACCAAATAAACTGATAGAAACAAACCCAGTACCCATCATTGGTTAAGTGGACCATGGTTAAAAGCTGAAATCGAAGGTTATATTCTTGTTGCATTGGTACCAATGCTTTCTAACTAGAAATCACGAAGCGCACATATTGAAAATTGTGTTAACACAAAATGCAGATTCTGTGATAAATATCCAGAAACAATTGGCCATCTTGTATCAGGTTGCAGGGTGTTAGCACCATCAGTATATATATCTCGGCGTGATAGATTGGGCCAATATCTGCACTAGAAAATGTGCAACGTTTACGGGAAGGAAACTACAAGAAACTGGTATTAACATCAACCAGGTCCGGTTACAGAGATATAACCTGTAACAATTTTATAGGACTTTTGAATACACAAAGACAGAAGAAGCAAAGTTAATCGCCAAAGACCACAAAACAGAATGTGCTTTCTTATTGACATATGACAGTCCTTTACACATTGTAAGGTATCTTTGAAGATCTTCAAATATATATATATATATATATATATATATATCTTGAAGCCGAAATTTTAAAAATGGAGCCTAGGAGGAGATCAATAATTCCGGTTGTAGTTGGAACCCTTGGATTAATTGGAAAAGGTTTTTAGAGACTCATCGAAGGGATTCCTTGTAGTCCATACCTTAAAGAAATACAAAAGAATTCTACTCACAGATACAACTCACACCTTACAAAGTGTTTTTATCTATGTAAAATGTGTGTGATATTAGTTTTTCTTTTTACAAAAATGATCAGTGGAGGATCTCATGATGCCATTTCTGACCATAGGTCTCTGGTTGGGACCCGGAAGAACATGTGTACACAAAAGAAATCAAAGGAAATGATATTATTATTATTATTATTATTATTATTATTATTAAAGTGTAACCCGGATATAAGAGAGTTGTCGGGACCGGAGAAGAAGTCTCTTATATCCGGGTTTCTCTTATATCCGGGCTTGGTCTATTTTATATACATTAACACAGGCTCTAATTTGGGACCAGAGAAAATCTCTCTTATATCCGGGCTTCTCTTATATCCGGGTCTCTTATATCCGGGTTACACTGTATTATTATTATTATTATTTGTGTATGTTTCCTTCTTTGTAACCTGTAGAGCCGGATCCAAACTATGGTCCTTAGGCCCTGTAGTAGAATATTCATTTATTTGATAGCACTTTTCTTAGTATATAGGATGTTCTTAATAAGGCGATCTTTTGGGTAACTTGTATGATGTCACCTATGACACTGTTAGTAAAATTGTCCATTCTTTTTCTCACGAGGCTCAAAGCTCCGATTATTAATTGATGCAGTCTATCATCATTCCCCACATCCTGTTAATTTCGATCTCTAAGTTCTTGTACGTGGACAATTTCTCAATAATTGTAATGGAGGTGTTTCTCTCAGGTGGTAATGCTATATCAATAAGCATACACCTTCTGAATTTCTTGTCTTTTATAATGATATTAGGTCTGT